AGTGTTCTTGGTTGGCTTCCTCCACTCACTCAGCACAATGTTGAAGTGTCTAGTGGTATGTCTGCCTATTAATGTCTGTGTCCCCACCGACACTCTCCGTTCCTTAAGGGCAGGGCCTATGTTTATTTTATTCATCTATTTATACTCAATAATTAGCACAGTGCCTAGCATATCACGGAAGCTCAATAAGTATTCAACAAATGAATAGACATGGATTATGTTAGCTCAAGCATCCTCCTTTCTTAAAACACTTCTTCAAGGTAACGTGGCAAGTTTTCACTTACAGAAAGTACACTTCACAGACCAAAGCAGTCGAGTATGTAATCATAATCCATTTAGCCCAGTAATTAGACCTTAATGTGATGAAATTCAGCTGACGGTGCAGAAGAGGCGAGGTGTTGAGTAATGCAAACACCACCTTGCCACCTTTCCAGATGATGAAACCACGCGCAAAATAAAACAGGAGGAAAGCAAGGATGAAGAGCAGCATAAGGGGGAACCCACAGGAGCAGGAAGTTCAGGTCAGAAGGTCAGGAGGAAAGAAAAGTAAAGACTGAGGCTAGTGAAATAGAAAACAGAATAATCCCCGGCAAGGGGATGCCAGGAAGAAGCTGAGAGCACGGGGCCGAAGCAAAGACTACAGAGAGAGACACTTTGGACAATCAAAGGGTCATTGAAAAAAGCAAAATAAATAATAAACCTGCGCTGGGGTCCTGATACATGTAACGGACACATCCAACGGCAAGGTCAGCGAAGGAGGAGGGAAGAGACGGAGAAAATCATCAAGGCGGAGAGTTTTGTGTTCAGAGTCTGATTTGCTTATTTTTAAAAGGAAGGTGAGCACAGATGTTCAATGACATCAATTCCCCAGGAGTGGCTGGTGCCTATTTGCATACCCTCAAATAAAAATAAAGAGAACTCGCTAAATCCCTGCCCTATTTAACTGTGGCTTTTAAGACAGAGCAAAAGACATGCTCTCCCTGAGCAGTGATGGCATAGAATTTAGGATCCAATAGTCAGTCTTGCTTTTGAAATGTACTTGTA